ACAAACAATAAGATAAAACATAAAACAGCAATTATAAAACAATTAAAACAATCAATTATACATCACAATCAATAAAACCAATCTAATGCTCAACCCCGCAGAGGACTCAGGGCGAATTACAATGTACATATACATGGCAAACATTCAATGCCATAGACACAGAACATATATAAACAGACACTCAGAGGCTATTTAACATTCCAGCTTCTTGCCTCCAGGGGAGCTGTCGCTTCACCATCCGTTTGTGACACCGATGAAGTACTTTCTTATTCTTTGCATACTTCCTGGAGATTTTTATGGCCTCGTAAATCAGTTAAATTAGTCTCCCCACATAAGTGGTACCTAAATTTTCTACTTGACAGATGCAACTGTCTTTTGGGCTGCAAAGATCGACAACAAGCTACACAGTTTTGGTCGGAAGCTTACTCTGGGCTGGCTTCGAACTCATGACCTTTCGGTCAGTAGTGATCTTAATGCAGCTGACTCCCAGCCAGCTGTGCCATATTAGGTGGAAAAGTGTTGTAGAGTTGTGTGTCGTCTGCGTACAGAATTATTATTCTGTTCTCTCGTGTTCGTTTTTATTTAATCATCCAACTGCTGTAGTAATACGGGTTAGTCTTCAAGACTCCGTTCTCTTTCTGTACTTTCCAAACTGTTGCAAATAAGGATGAGTGCATTTTCTTTGTTTAGTCTTTTAGAACATGTTTATGAACCTAAGGTTCTAAGTTTACTTGGTTGTCAAGGTCAGTGGTGGTTTTCTCTTAGATTTGGGGAAGCTGGAATGCTCTTCAGTTGTACTTTGCTTTGCTCTTGTCACAGTCTGGCTTTATTTGAAAAGTCGGTGATTATATTCCAAAGCATTTGGAATATTTCCACGTGACCCTCCCTTCTGGTGAGAGTCGGCCATGAAGTTCCACAAATCAATTGACTTCAGTTGGACGTCTTCCAGCATGTCAAAATCAAGGACATCCGGAAAGTATGTGGAGCTTTTTAGAAGATATAGCCCCAAATATGGTATTAGGAAAGTGCAAGTTCTGGAGCCTGTATGTGTTGTGAGAATAACATGCATTTGCTTGTATTTTACTTGCTTGTTATTGCCATGGGAAGAGATATAAGAGCCCTTCTTGCTAGACAAGATTCTCTCATCACTTGTGGCCTGTGTATATTTGTTTTCAAACCTTTCTGTAGATCTTATTTTTTTCTGATTATTATGATAAGGTAAAGTAAAGATTTTCCCCTGACATTATGTCCAGTCATGTCCGACTCTGGGGGTTGGTGCTCATCTCCTTTCTAAGCTGAAGAGTCGGCATTGTCCAAAGACATCTCCAAGGTCATGTGGCCAGCATGACTGAAAGGAGTACCGTTACCTTCTCACTGGAGTGGTACCTATTGATCTACTCACATTTGCATGTTTTCGAACTGCTAGGTTGGCAGGAGCTAGAGCTAACAGCAGAAGCTCACGCTGCTCCCTGAATTCGAACCTGTGACCTTTCAATCAACAAGCTCAGCAGCTCAGCGGTTTAATCCACTGCGCCACCGGAGGCTCCTTATTATTATAAGGATATAATAATATTATATTATATTATATTAGGTAATAATAATAATAATAATAAATTATTATTATTATTATTATTATTATTATAAGGATTATGACGGCTTCTATTAAAAATTGACCATAGAGTTATGCTCGAAGACCTTGCCTTTCATTGGCTTTGGCCAGCTGCCTGCCTTTTTGTCTTTCTGGGTTTAATGAGGGTTGAATGAAAAGTAATGCCTCCACCTTCATAACTCCTCAACAGATGGCAGTACTCGTATGCGGCAGGTACTGGCTTGTTCAGTAGACTCTCCTCTACAGTTCCATTTTGGCGGGAAGCCTTAGCATTGACTGGTTGTATTGTTAAAGTGTGAAGTATGCAACCCTGTGTAGACGGTTGGTCAATGCGACTTAAGCAACCTGCAGTCATTGTATTTTTGACAGTAGAAGGTGTCACCCCAAAGGTGATTCATCAGAGAATGCAAGCTGTTTATGGTGATTGTGTTGATGTGAGTACTGTGCGTCGTTGGGCGAGTACGTTTAAAGATGTTGAGGTGGGAACATCTGACTTGCATGACAAAGAGTTGGACGTCCTGTGACAGCAACCACCAAGTTTCACAAGCAGAACGTTGACAGATTGATTCACGACGATCGTTGTATCACTCAGAGAGAAATGTCAAGCATAATCAGCATTTCACAAGAATATGTGGGTCACATTATTGCTTAGCCCTCGGTGGCGCAGTGGGTTAAAGCCCTGTGCCGGCAGGACTGAAGACCGACAGGTCGCAGGTTCGAATNCTTCTTGGCAGGGGGTTGGACTGGATGGCCCATGAGATCTCTTCCAACTCTTTGATTCTATGATTCTACAACTGAACGAATGTACAACAATTGACCCAACCTAAACCCAGGATTGCATCATTCACAATCACCTGGAGTAGGCCAGAACACATTCCCCAAATGATTCCCCATATACAACCAATGCATGACTCAGCATTCCCAACAGAAGCCCATTAGCAGTGCATGACTCAGTTTATTATATTACAATACATTGTAAAACCTCATATATATATATATATATATTTACTACAAATAAATTCATAAACAATAATGTACATAAACACATATAAAGATACATATAAGAATACTAACAGAGTTATGAACTTGATATTTATCATACACATCAATGTTTGTTGTAAATACATCCATTCAGCATCATATATTTCAACATGTTTAAAGATACTCACAAGATTATAAACTTGGTACTTGTTCCCCTTAGAAATACAGGTTTTTATGTTTAGTGGGATCTAAATCAAAGGAACAAAATGTGGCTGTAAACATTGAAAAGTGACATATATAAAAATAAATATTTCATCTAATTATAAACATATATCACAAAATAGGTGTACTCACAAGATACTCTGCTCTGTGTTTGATTCTAATTGCGAGTATGGGAAACCTCTGTGAGTTCCCTCAATTTAAAGGGGGGAAAAACCACATGCAATATTTTTCCTGCTGCACAAAATGTGTCCAGCTGCACATTAGAATAAACCTCTGTCTGTTCTCATCATACTATTTTCATGGAAGTAACAGGAGTAACACGGAAGGACCACTATAATGAGATGAGAGAAACTGCATCTGTATTGTCCCTTGCTTCCCTGTTCTGGAACCAAGGATTGAGTGCCAGTTTGGTCTTAGCTCTGTATCATGCAGCCTCCAAGAACACAAATAAACAAAAGGAGTCATCTCCTTACAATATTATATTGTAATTCTCAATACAAAGACTGTCTCTTTGAAAGACTCATTAACTGTGATGCCCTTTAAGCATTCACAGTAACCTATTTCAGAGAGTGACTTTGCCTAATAAAACCTGTTTTGAGGATATGTTTCAATCCATGGGAGGAAAACAGTATCTACAAGAGATTCTACAAGATTTCAGTCCATAGGAGGAAAAAATATATACAAGAGAGTCTACTGTATAGTCCACAATGGTTGGGTATTTATATGTCATAGCACTAGATTGGGAAAGTTGTGGACCTTTATATGTTGGTGAACCTCTTCATCCTAGCATTTTTCACTACTGGCTAGATTGGATGGAACTGATCAGAAAGGGTGTCCAACGTCATCTGGGAAAACCACATTTTCTCTCCCTCCCTTAATTTATTTATTTATTTATTTATTTGGTGCATTTGTTGACCGCCGCTCTCAGCCCTGGGGCGACTCGCGGCGGTGTACAACATATAAAAACCATTTACAATAGAACACAAACAGAGAATCAACATATCAAAATACACAATAATCTAAATTACACTAAATAATCCGCTCCGTTCCATCATCGAATCGTAACCAATCTCGTAATCCATTTCGTTCCGGTTGTCATTACCAATTAGTATAGCACTCAGTTAAATGCCTTCTCGAATAGCCAGGTCTTTAAGCTCTTACGGAAGGACATAAGGGAGGGCGCCTGTCTAATGTCAGCAGGGAGAGCGTTCCACAGCCGGGGGGCCACCACCGAGAAGGATGCAGCAAATGATAAAGTTCAGCTTGTTAGAGCATTAATAATTCTACAGAAGATGTATATATGCATGGCAATCACTCCTATTTTGCTCCTATTTTTCTGGCTCTTTCAAAATATTCCCAATTTGTTCTTATTTTTGCTCTCCAAGTACAGGTGGGTGAATGGAGTTTTCAAAAATGCAATATGGGCACTCCTTGAAATCAGTTTCCTGTCTCTTCCATATCTAGTGGGGAGTAGGAATAAAAGCACTGACAGAGGAAACATGTATTACACATAATTAACACATACAATTGGCCCTACATATTCACAGATTCTGCATCCACGGGTTCAATCATCCAAAACTAGAATATATTTTTTAAATCCCAAAAGCAAACCATAACTTTGCCATTTTATGCAAGAGACACTATTTTACTATGGCATTATACATAATGGGTTTAAGCATCCAAAGGCTTTAGCATCTTGGGGGGGGGGGGGNCACCTGAATTATGCTCAGTTTTTTGGCGAATTTTGACACACCACGCTCAAAAGGTTGCCCATCACTGGCCTAGAGGATCCCTCATCTGTCGAAGGTGGCCTGATGGATTGTCCGGAGCTTAACTGTGCATATGACTGTTGAGCAGATGCATGCCCACCTCGTTTGGAATGGCTCTTGTAATCGTTTCTGGGCCACCAGAAAACAATAGCCCCAGGGATTGTCTGGGAACGTTTAACTTGCTGTTTCCAGGCTCCACCACTTCTTGTTAATTAAGATTACTGGCTTCCTGCAGGGTCACAGTAAATGCCGCAATTACAGCTCTAATGACTTTTCTTCCCACTTAGAGGCCTCTCGGGGAAGAGAAGGCGAGGAGATGTGATTAACGGGGTTCCCGTGGGAAGGAAGCCGCCGAGCGCTGCAGTGTTTGCGTCTGGGGCCGAAGCAGGCTAACTGTTGCTCTCCTTCCCTTTTCCAAGGGCTTCACCATGGTTGTGGCGGTTCGGCAAATCCTCGCGTACCTCTTCCTGTGGACGCTTTGTGTCCTGAGCAAACCCACCGAGAAGAAGGACCGCGTCCACCACGAGCCACAGCTCAGCGACAAAGTCCACGACGACGGGCAGAACTTTGACTACGACCACGATGCCTTCCTAGGGGCTGAGGAGGCCAAGACTTTTGACCAGTTGACGCCGGAGGAGAGCAAGGAGAGGCTGGGGTAGGAGGACCTAAGTTTTGGAACAGGCCCATAGTTTCAGCGTTGCTTAGGTACTTGCGGGGCTTGAGGCTTCTGCTTTTTAGAAGGCCTTTGGTAGGCTTGAGGCCTCTTCAGCCTTTCATATACCCTTCCAAGAGCGCAGGCACACTGGGAATACTTTCTGATGCTTTGGGGAGTCCTCTGCATCAGCAATGGGAATTTCTATGTGGGGCTTTGAGGAGAAGGGGAAGCCTCTAAGGCAGTGATTCTCAACCTGTGGGTCCCCAGGTGTTTTGGCCTACAACTCCCAGAAACCCTAACAGCTGTTAAACTGGCTGGGATTTCTGGGAGTTGTAGGCCAAAAACATCTGGGGACCCCAGGTTGAGAACCACTGCTCTAAGGAACCTTGGAGCTACTTGTGTGGTGCAAGCAGCTAAGCTAACCAGTCTGTCTTTACATAGACTTTTAGCCCAACTGTAGTTTGCTTGTTTATTTATTTATGTATTTAGTATTATTATTATTATTATTATTTTATTCCATATATTTCTACCCCACCCTTCTCCCCATAAGGGGACTCAGGGTGGCCTCACATAAGCATCAGATGATGCTAACAACATATACACCATATAATTACAATTAAAACAGTAAAATCATTTAAAAATCTTTATACGAAATCATTAATACATTCATTTAACAATACATTAACGTACCAGTAAAACCAATACCAAGCAGGGAGAAACCAATGTCGCAAACGTTCCAAAATTCCTTTTCCTATTGCCGCTATCCTCTAGTCCAGGGGTACACAAACTTTTTAGACAGAGAGCCAGGTCAGAGTCCCTCAAACAGTTGGAGGGCCGGATTATAATTTGAAAAAAAAAAACATGAATGAATTCCTATGCACACTGCACATATCTTATTTGTAGAGCAAATAAACTTAAAAACAATACAATAATTAAAATGAATAACAGTTTTTAACAAATATAAACTTATTAGTATTTCAATGGGAAGTGTGGGCCTTCTTAGGCTGATGATAGGATTGTTGTTGTTGTTGTGTGCTTTCAAGTAGTTTCAGACTTAGGTTGACTCTGAGCAAGGCCCGGGTAAATGACCTTGGAGGGTCGTATTCAGAACCCGGGCCTTAGTTTGAGGACCCCTGCTCTAGTCGAACGCCTGGCCCCAGAGCCAGGTCTTCAGTTGTCTTCTGAAGGACAGGAGGGAGGTGGCCAACCCGATGTCCTTAGGGAGAGAGTTCCACAGACAGAGGGCCACTGGCGAGAAGGCCCTGTCTTTCGTCCCCACCAACCGCATTTGCGAGAGTGGTGGGCTCAAGAGCAGGGCCTTTCCTGACGATCTTAAGCTTCATGATGGTTCATAGCAGGAGATATGTTTGGACAGGTAATCTGATTTCAACTTGATTATATGGCAGCGTAAACTCATGTAACCCAGTTCAAAGCATGATCTGCTTTGATAACCTGGATTATATGACAGTGTAGAAGGGGCCTCAGTCTCACTTCCCCCTGTTTCTAGTAGTCTGCCATTATTTACGACATTTATATGCCGTCCTTCTCATCCCGAAGGGGACTCAGAGCGGCTTACAAGTAATATGTAAATACAATATTATTACCATAGCACAAAATTAATATTATATATTGCCATATTGTACTATAACATTATACTGTAATATTATTAGTAATATTACATGTAATATGAAATATATAATGATAATATCTTATTATTATTGTTATTATTATTATTATTATTATTATTATTATTATTAGTAGTAGTAGTATATTGTATTAGGTAATGATAAAGGTTGTCATTAAGTCCAGTCATGTCTGACTCTGGGGTGTGGTGCTCATCTCCATTTCTAAGCCGAAGAGCCAGCGTTGTCCATAGACACCTCCAAGGTCATGTGGCCGGCATGACTTCATGGGAGCGCTGCTACCTTCCCTCCAAAGCGGTACCTATTGTTCTACTCACATTTGCATGTTTTCAAACTGCTAGATTGGCAGAAGTTAGAGCTGACAGCGGAAGCTTACGCCGCTCCCCGGAATTGAACCTGTGACCTTTCGGTCAACAAGCTCAACAGCTCAGCGCTTTAACCCACTGTGCCACCAGGGGCACATATTATATTGTATTACATTATAATATTATCAATATTATATGTATATACCAGTGGTTCTCAACCTTTCCAATGCCGCGACCCCTTAATACAGTTTCTCATGTGGTGGTGACCCCCAACCATAAAATTACTTTAGTTGCTACTTCATAGCTGTAATTTTGCTATCGTTATGAATCATAATGTGAATATCTGATATGTAGGATGTATTTTCATTCACTGGATCAATCTGGGCACAAATACCCAATACACCCAAATCTGAATACTGTTGGGAGTTGTAGTTTCTGGGATTTATAGTTCAGCTACAATTAAAGAACATCCTGAATTCCACTAATGATGGAATTGAACCAAATTTAGCACACATAACTCCCATGAACAAGAGAAAATACTGGTGGGGTTTGGTGGGCATTGACCTTGAGTTTGGGAGTTGTAGTTCACCTACATCCAGAGAGCACTGTGGACTCAAACAATGGTGGATCTGGACCAAACTTGGCACGAATACTCCATATGCTGAAATGTGAACACTGGTGGAGTTTGGGGAAAACAGACATTGACCTTTGGGATTTGTAATTACTGGGATTTATAGTTCGCGAACAATCAAAGAGTTTTCTGAACTTCACCAACAATAGAATTGGGCCAAACTTGACACACGGAACCCCCTTGACCAACAGAAAATACTGTGTTTTCTGTTGGTCTTCAGTGACCCCTCTGACATCCCCTCGCGACTCCCCCAGGCGTCCCGACCCCCAGGTTGAGAAACGCTGGTATATACAATATATTATATATACAATATGTAGTTACATTTACTCAGAAGTAAGCCCTGCTGAATTAAAGGCAACTTGCTCCAAAGGAGGGGTTCCTTGGCCTCACTGAAATCACTGATAATGCATCCTGTTAGCAGCCCATTAAGTTGCTGATGAAATATCATAAAATTCAAGTTTGCACAGAGATTTGAGCCACTTGCTGCTCTTAACCAATACCTGAACAAAGCCCTTGTGTTCACTCTGAGAAAAAATAATAATGGTGCTAATAAATTAATCTGTTTTGTGCAGATTAGCTGAGCAACAAGACCGTGACCTTGACTGTGACCAGAGGCTCTCCCTCTGCAATGGGAAATGCTGTCTCTCCCCTAATGCACACACACACATACACACACACACACATCCACAGCCTCTCTCTGTGCCCAGGTGTCAAGTAACAGCGGTGACAGCTGTAGTTATATTTGGCTGTGCATTCTTGCATTTTTGCTGGCCTGCATATAGAAGCTTTACTCAGGAGACAAAACCATGCACATTTTTCTTGCGCGTAGCACCCAGCTTTTCTGAACGTCTCACAGTGACCTTTGACTTCATTGTGAGGTGGGACTGGAGAGACAAAATGGCCAGGATCCAAATTGCGTACATGGAAGGTTAAGCAGAAATAGCTCCCTTTGCTGCTTTGTCCAACAGAGTCATCTGTCTGAATGACTTCCTTTCTGATTGCTGATCCTTTGAATCAGGGAATTCATATTGTGTTGTGTTGATTATGGGCAAGGTGGATCGTGGGCCACCCAAAATGGCTAAGAGGGTCGTCCTCTGAAGGAATGGTGTTCAAGTAGGTCAACAGGTCGTAGGGCACTTTCCGGACCTTGTTTGACCTTTTCGTGCGTAGGTTGGATTTCAGTTCAAGTCTCTCCAATATGTGTCACTGAAAGCAGAGGGTGGTGAAGGGTGTCTTTGTGACTCTCTTGGCACGGAAAAGAGTCTCACATGTCATAGGAAAAGTGCTAGCGCAGCACAAAGTCTCCTTCCCAGAAAGTGTCCAGCAGCTAGCTCGAGAAGAGCAGCTAAACTGGAAAGCAATAAAATGACACTACCATGCCACGCCACGTGATATATTGGTTTGAGCACTGAAGTACATCTCTGGAGTTACGGATGAAAATCCCCTCTTGGCTGTGAAAACCCACTGGGTGACCTTAGGCAAGGCTCAGCCTCAGGGGAAGGCAAAAGCAACCCCCTAAACAAATATCACCAAAATAACCCCATGATACGCTTGTCTTTGGGTCACCATGAAGTCTAGAACAACCTGAAGGTACGCAGCACCATCATCCCATTCATAATAATAATAATAATAATAATAATAATAATAATAATAATAATGGGTTGTTGTAGGTTTTTTCGGGCTATATGGCCATGTTCTAGAGGCATTCTCTCCTGACGTTTTGCGTGCATCTATGGCAAGCATCCTCAGAGGTAGTGAGGTCTGTTGGAACTAGGAAAAAGGGTTTATATATCTGTGGAATGACCAGGGTGGGACAAAGGACTCTTGTCTGCTGGAGCTAGGTGTGAATGTTTCAACTGACCACCTTGATTACATATAATAGCCTAGTTGAAACATTCACACCTAGCTCCAGCAGACAAGAGTCTTTGTCCCACCCTGGTCATTCCACAGATATATAAACCCTTTTTCCTAGTTCCAACAGACCTCACTACCTCTGAGGATGCTTGCCATAGATGCAGGCGAAACGTCAGGAGAGAATGCTTCTAGAACATGGCCATATAGCCCGAAAAAACCTACAACAACCCAGTGATTCCGGCCATGAAAGCCTTTGACAATACAACAACAATAATAATAATACTTTATTTATATCCCGCCACCAAGGGACTCGGAGCAGCTTACATGAGGCCAAGCCCAACAACACATGATAAAATAATAATAATAATAATAATAATAATAATAATAATAATAATAATCTTTATTTATACCCCGCCACCATCTCACCAATGGGGACTCGGAGTGTCTTAAAACAACAAACAATAGTAAAAACAACAAGCAATAAGCAAAATAAACAATACAATGAGTATAACTCAGACATGGACAACAACACGGAAGAATTTGAAAACCTATGGCTGGGCCATATGTAATAGTTAAAACATTAAAAGTAAATGCTGGACACGAACAAAGGATGTATCTAGTAGGAGGGTTTTAAACCAAGAGTAGAGAGCAACCCAACGGGTAATTAAAGTGCTTTTAAGGGTATTTTGCAGGGGATTGTTCCTTTATTCAGGGAAGGCACACTGGAACAGCCACGTTTTCAGGCTCTTCCTAAAGACTGCCAATGTGGGGGCTTGTCTGATACATGCATTTGGTTACCCAGCTGTATCAGGCCTCTTCTTGCATTTGGTTGCATCTCCTGGCTCTTGAGTTGATGGTTGGAAGGAGTAGTACAGGCATGGGCAAAATTCGGTCCTTCTCCAGGTGTTTTGGACTTCAACTCCTATAATTCCTCACAGCTGGTGGGACAGTTGAAGTCCAAAAAACCTGGAGGGAGGGCCAAGAGATAGGACCTTCTTAGTGGTGGCCCTCCACCTCTAGAACGCCCTTCCAAGGGAAATAAGACAGGCCTATCCCTCCCCTCCTTTCATAAGAGTTTGAAGACTTGGTGGTTACAACAAGCCTTTGACAATGACCAATTCTAACTCAGCCCCACACATTGTCAAATGCGGCCTTATTCTTCCTACCAATTACCCAGATCATTTCCTCTAATCAGCCCCGGAATGAACAACCACAGACCCGTACCTAATATTATTGTTGCCTGCCATAGCATTGCACTTAATTCCCGGGCCCCCTAGAATTTTTGGGTTTCCACAAATCTTGGCCTGGCCTTTTCAAATTTTTTAAAATTGCCTTGAACAGGCAGGATTCTTTTAATATGTGTGTTATGGCGACAATTTTTATGTTTATATTTTGTTTTGTTAATCTTATAGTTATGTTGTTTTTTACCTTGTATGTTTTGTGATGTTACCTGGGAACCGCTCTGAGTCCCCTCGGGGAGATGGAGCGGTATATAAATAAAGTTTTATTATTATTATTTTATTATTATTACAGGTGGGTTTTCATGGGAACCCTACTTATCACTCAGCTCTTCACTCGATTCCTTATCTGCTGTTGGTACTTCTGACTCCCCTGAATGCCCTTGAGGCCCTGCACTTTCTGAGCCAGTTTCCTCACAGAGGGAACAATAATTTCCTGAATTTGAATTTTATTTTATTATTATTACAGGTGGGTTTTCAATGGAACCCTCCTTATCACTCAGCTCTTCACTCGATTCCTTATCTGCTGTTGCTATTTCTGACTCCCCTGAATGCCCTTGAGGCCCTGCACTTTCCGAGCCAGTTTTCTCACAGAGAGAACAATAATTTCCTGAATTTGAATTTTATTTTATTATTATTACAGGTGGGTTTTCATGGGAACCCTCCTTATCACTCCGCTCTTCACTTGATTCCTTATCTGCCGTTGCTACTTCTGACTCCCCTGAACGCCCTTGAGGCTCTGCACTTTCCGAGCCAGTTTTCTCTCAGAGAAAACAATAATTTCCTGAATTTGAATTTCCCAGATTTGAGAGCCCATCACTTTGTGCCATAGGAAAGCTCACAATTCTTTCTAAATCATCAGTTAAATCAATATAAATATATTATTATTATTATTATTATTATTATTATTATTTAGCAATTTTGTATACCGGTCTTCTCCCCTCTATCGGGGGACTCGGGCCGGTTTCCAACAATAAAATCACAAAACAATCATTAAAAACATCATATAACATATTCAATTAAAACGTTATAATAGAAAAATGCAATCACATAATAACAATGGTCAGTCGTCATAGTGAATTCGTTCGTTGTCCATCATTCATCGTCATCTATCCGATCACAGAAATATTGATTCACTCGTCGAAAGCCAAACCCCATAGCCAGGTTTTCACCCGTTTTCTGAACGACAGAATGGAGGGGGCAGTTCTGATCTCCAGTGGGAGAGAGTTCCAGAGTCGAGGGGCCACCACCGAGAAGGCCCTGTCCCTCGTCCCCACCAGACGCGCCTGAGAGGCCGTGGGACCGAGAGCAGGGCCCCTCCAGACGATCTTAACAACCTAGATGGTTCATAGGGGAGAATACATTTGGACAGGTAAACTGGGCCGGAGTCATTATTATTATTATCATTATTATTATTATTATCAGCCTTTGGTACATCTACAACACTGAGTGTCTGTGAGCCAAAGCAGACAAGGCTAATGCTGAGTGGACCCTCACAGGGGTGCAAGCTGCCCCTCTCCTACTGAGTGGGAGCTCTGAGTGAGCTTTTTTGTGGTCCTTCCGTCCTTCCTTCCGTCCTTCCTTCCTTCCTTCCTTCCTTCCTTCCTTCCTTCCTTCCTTCCTTCCTTCCTTCCTTCCTTCCTTCCTTCCTTCCTTCCTTCCTCTGTTTCAGGCCCATCTCCCTTTCCCACAGTGTGTTGGTCCCAGCTGGTAGGCCCAGGTTTGTTTCTCTTAACTCTTGCTGGCTTTTTTTCTGCGTTTCCCACAGAAAAATTGTAAGTAAAATAGATGAAGACAAGGACGGGTTTGTAACTCCCGAAGAGCTGAAAGACTGGATTAAGTTTGCCCAAAAGCGCTGGATTTACGAGGATGTAGAGCGGCAGTGGAAAGGCCACGACCTCAATGAGGACGGGCTCATTTCCTGGGAGGAGTATAAAAATGCCACCTACGGCTACATCCTAGGTAGGTGGGCGCGTCCCCGGGTAAGAGCCTTGCCTTGAAACCTGCTGTTTTGTCTTGTAGAATGATGGTAGATAAAATAGACACGGATAAGGATGGGTTGGTGACCGAGGGGGAGCTGAAGGCCTGGATTCAGAAGGCTCAGAAGAAGTACGTGTTTGACAATGTCGAGCACCAGTGGCAGGAGTATGACATGAACCAAGATGGCTTGATCTCCTGGGAGGAGTACAGAAACGTGACCTATGGCACTTACCTGGGTAAGGGGTCAAGTGTTCGAAGAAGAAGCCGCAGAGACCGGGATCTCTTAGCAATAAAGCAGAAGGGCAACGTCGTTTGGGACTGAGAGAATTCTCTGCTGCAAATACCCTATTTCCTAATCTGATTTGGCTCTTTCGCAAATTTATACTGAAGCAACTTTACGAGATGTGACTTCATACCTCTGCTTTATTGATATTTTAACTACCTACCTTGATATTTTAAAGCAGTGTTTCTCAACCTTCCTAATGCCGTGACCCCTTAATACATTTCCCCATGTTGTGGTGACCCCCAACCATAACATTATTTTCGTTGCTCCATCATAACTCGTTTTGCTACTGTTATGAATCATAATGTAAATATCTGATATGCAGGATGTATTTTCATTCACTGGACCAAATTTGGCACAAATACCCGATATGCCCAAATTGAATACTGGTGGGGTTGGGGGGGGGGTTGATTTTGTCATTTGGGAGTTGTAGTTGCTGGGATTTATAGTTCACCTACAATCAAAGAGCATTCTGAACTCCACCAACGATGGAATTGAACCAAACTTGGCACACAGAACCCCCATGACCAACAGAAAATACTGGAAGGGTTTGGTGGGCATTGACCTTGAATTTGGGAGTTATAGTTCACCTACATCTACACTGTGGACTCAAACAATGATGGATCTGGACCAAACTTTGCACAGATACTCAATATGCCCAAATGTGAACACTGGTGGAGTTTGGGAAAAACAAACCTTGACATTTGGAAGTTGTCGTTGCTGGGATTTATAGTTTACCTACAATTAAACAGCATTTTTTTTTGTCGCGTCAGGAGCGACTTGAGAAAGTGCAAGTTGCTTCTGGTGTGGGAGAATTGGCTGTCTGCAAGGACGTTGCCCAGGGGACGCCCGGATGATTTGATGTTTTTATCATCCTTGTGGGAGGTTTCTCTCATGTCCCTGCATGAGGAGCTGGAGTTGATAGAGAGAGCTCATCCGCCTCTCCCCGGATTCAAACCTGCGACCGGTCGGTCTTCAGTCCTGCTGGCACAGGGGTTTAACCCATTCTGAACCCTACCAATGATAGAATTGCGACAAACTTCTCACACAGAACCCCAATGCCTTGAAGGGACTTGCTGGAGCAAGCCTCTCTCCAGCCTTGCACGCTCCTCCTCACCCGCACATGTGCACCATGGTGCCATGCACTGAGCACGCCTGCTCTCCCCTCCCCGTTTGGAGTCTCAGAAACATCCCTCCCTTGGCTGAGAGGCCTGCCAATCACAGTGGAGGAGGGCTTTTGGTGGGAGGCTTCCCTGTCTGTTTCCAGGGGTTCCTAAGATAATCAAAAATATATGTGGTCTTTGGAGACCCCTCTGACACCCCCTCATGACCCCCCCCCAGGGGTCCCGGCCCCCAGGTTGAGAATGCTGCTTTAAAGAGTCTTTACTGTTTTCATGGTATTTAATGCTAGCCTTACATTTCCTCTTGTTTTTAGGCTCCTTAAAAACCTTTCCCTTTAGAATAGCTTTCTGCTATTCTGTGCCCTCCAAATGTGTTTTACTATGCTTGATTTTGTTGCTAAAATATTTGGGTGGTACTGCTCCTAGTTTTAAATCTTGGTTTGCAAGTAGTAGTATCTAATATCTGTGCTGGACAATTGCCCGGACAATTGCGTCCTCCACCTAAATATTGATAATTGTCCCTTATCTCTCAATATCCCTCAACCTGGATGAAGGATACTGGGATGTATGTTGAAGTGTTTTGACTCTACATCATTTAATAGCTAAGGCTGTGGTGTGAACAGTGAACCATGCACAACATAATAATGAAATGTTGAAGGGGTCTTTTTTGGAACTGTGGGAGTTGAAGTCCAAAACACCTGGAGGGCCCAAGTTTGCCTATGTCTGTTTCAAGTCAGTCACAAATCATTGTCTGGGCCTTGAATTGACACCATCTTTCTTTCTCTCTGATTCCAGATGACCCGGACCCAGATGACGGTTTCAATTACAAACAGATGATGACAAGAGACGAGCGGAGGTTCAAGATGGCTGACAAGGACGGAGACCTGATTGCCACCAAGGATGAGTTCACGGCCTTCCTGCATCCCGAGGAATATGACTACATGAAGGATATTGTAGTGCAGGTAGATCAGTCCCCATCCCATGACCATTGGCTTGTCCAGCAGCCGTGAGCCATTTATAGGAGGGTGGAATGTCATGTGCGTATTCTTCAGGTAACACATGTGCAACGTAAATGCTCTTTCTGACCTGGTCGAAAGAAAAGGTTTCGATGATTACGGGATTTAATGCTGGTCCATGGGCCTGAAATTATACTGGCCCCCATGAGGCAGCATTGGTGCTTTCCTCTCTTTGCAATATGATAGTATTGATGGGTTATCTCAACATCCATAATTTTGGCCTCCAAACCTGACCTCAAGTTATATCTGAGGTTGACTTATACATGGGAATATATGGTAAATCTTGTAGTTCCTCTTTGAAATAAGCTCCTGCCATGTTGTTGTTGTTATTGTTACTTTGCTTGTTTGTTTGTTTTATTTATTTACGACATTTCTATGCCACCCTTCTCACCCCAAAGGGGACTCAGAGCGGCTTACAAGCAAAAAGTAAATACAATATATTATTATTATCATAGCACAATATTAATGTTATATACTATAACATTATACTGTAATATTATTAGTAATATTACATCTATCTCTCTCTATATAAATGCTCTGTGCATAATGAGTACCTTAAAAACAAAAGAACCAATGAATGAAATCACACCAAATTTGGCAACAAAATGTATCAGAACACAAGGAGTGACCATCACTCAAAAATTATGATTTTGTCATTTGGGAATTGTAGTTGCTTGGATTTATAGTTTGCCTGCAATCAAAGAGCATTCTGAACTCCATCAACGATGGAAATGAACCAAACTTGGCACACAGAACTCCCATGACCAACAGAAAATACTGGAAGGGTTTGGTGGGCATTGACCTTGAGTTTGGGAGTTGTAGTTCACCTACATCCAGAGAGCACTGCAGACTCAAACAATGATGGATCTGGACCAAACTTGGCACAAGCACTCAATACGCCCAAATATGAACACAGATGGAGTTTGGGGAAAATAGACCTTGACTTTTGAGAGTTGTAGTCACTGGGATTCACAGTTCACCTACAATCAAGGAGAATTCAGAACCCCATGAACAACAGAATCGGGACAAACTTCCTACACAGAACCCCCATGACCAACAGAAAATACTTAAGGCCATCCAATCCAACTCGTTCATCAGGGCAAGAAAATGTAATCAAAGTCCTTCTGACAAAGAGCCATCCAGCCATCGATCGATAGATAGATAGATATGATTCACACACAGAGAGATATAGTATCATAGATTTGAAAGGGAACCTTAAAGAAGGACAATGATATGTTACATGTTCCAGGGTGGGCAAACCAGACAATCTCCACATCCACACTGACAAAGAAACAGCAAGAAACACTGTTTGCCCACAAGCAGAAAGACATTACATATGTTAGAAACCAACACTCTGATTATTTATTTTCCAGATCAACAGACAGGGCCACAGCAACGCGTGGCAGGGGACAGCTAGTACAATATATTATTATTATCATAGCACAATATTAATATTATATATTACATTGTACTATAACATTATGCTGTAATATTATTAGTAATATTACATTTAATATAAAATATATAATTATATCATTTTTATTATTATTAGTATATTGTATTACATATTGTATATTGTATTATATTATATTATATGCACAGTGCAGGAGACAAGATGGAACTGCCTTCTTGGCCCCTCTCTTCACTCTGATCTCAGAGCAGCAGTTAGGATTGGAGGGGATTTGTTTATATCATGCATTTTCTCTCTACAAAAGAGACTCAAAGTTTTTATTTATCGTGTCATCAGCAACCATACCATTGTATTACATTTCTAACAGAACAAAACAAACAAGCAAACAGATAAAAAAACACAAAGTTCGCAAGCTTGGTAGTTGATTAAATGTCCTTTGACCAGTATCTGGCCCCTTGGGAGTGCCTCTGGTGTTACTATAAGAAGGTCCTCCATTGTGCATCATGTGGCAGGGCTCAGGGTGCATTGCAGCAGGTGGTCAGTGGTTTGCTCCTCTCCACACTCGCATGTCGTGGATTCCACTTTGTGGCCCCATTTCTTGAGGTTGGCTCTGCATCTCGTGGTGCCAGAGCGTAGTCTGTTCAGCGCCTTCCAAGTTGCCCAGTTTTCTGTGTGCCCAGGGGGGAGTCTTTCATTTGGTATCAGCCATGGATTGAGGTTCTGGGTTTGAGCCTGCCACTTTTGGACTCTCGCTTGCTGAGGTGTTCCAGTGAGTGTCTCTGTAGATCTTAGAAAACTATTTTTTGATTTATGTCGATGACGTGCTGGCTGATACACAAACAAGGGATGAGCTGGAGATGTCTCTGCCTTGGTCCTTTCACTATTGGCTGCCACTTCCCAGTGGATGTCAGGTGGTGCAATACCGGCTAAGCAGTGTAATTTCTCCAGTGGTGTAGGGCGCAGACACCCCGTGATAATGCAACATGTCTCATTAAGAGCCACATCCACTGTTTTAGTGTGGTGAGATGTGTTCCACACTGGGCATGCATACTCAGCAGCAGAGTAGCACAGCGCAAGGGCAGATGCCTTCACTGTATCTGGTTGTGATACCCAGGTTGTGCCAGTCAGCTTTCGTATGATATTGTTTCTAGCGCCCACTTTTTGCTTGATGTTTAGGCAGTGCTTTAGAGACTCAAAGTGGCTTACATTAAAAGCATTTCAATACAATTTTAAAATATGCAAATATACAATAATTAAAACAGAACTAAATAGTGATAGTAACAAAAACAATGTTGTTAAAAAACATATTCAACACCAAAAACCACATTCTGTGACTAAGAAAAAAACATCGGGATCCTGAAACACATAGTTGGTCCTGAGAGTAAGCTGTGGTACTCATTCTGATTTTTCTAAACAGGAAACTATGGAAGACATTGACAAGAATGCAGATGGCTTTATTGACTTGGAGGAATACATAGGTGAGCGACGTGCCGGTTTCTTTACTATCTCCAGCACGAAGTCTGTTTGTTGATGGGTCTCTCATTCAATTCCTAACCAGGGCTGATCTTACTTAGATTCCAAGATGGCATGGGATTTGGTCCCTTTCGGTTTTGTGTTAATCCCAAATCATGGAGTTGGAATACCTGTAATCGGCCTGGACTATCTCGACAAGGCATGGCCCAATTTCAGTCTTCCCTCCAGGTGTTTTGGATTTCCCGGCTGTTAGGAATTGTGGGAGTTGGTCCAAAACACCGGGAGTGAAGGCCGAAGTTGGCCCATTTCTAGGTTAGAAGTAGGACTCAAATACTGGGGTGGTGGGGGTAGTGGTATGACCTTTTAAAGCCTGATCCATGCGCTGCTTCCTCGTCCTGCAGGGGACATGTACAGCCACGACGGGGATGCCGAAGAACCCGAGTGGGTGAAGACGGAGCGAGAGCAGTTTGTGGAGTTCAGGGACAAGAACCGAGATGGAAAGATGGACAAAGAGGAGACCAAAGACTGGATCCTGCCCTCGGATTACGATCACGCTGAGGCCGAAGCACGGCACCTGGTGTACGAGTCGGATCAGAACAAGGTACAGAGGTTAAGATGTCCGTTTAATGTTCATAGTGTAAAATAAGCTCAGTAGGTATGTTTAGCTGTGGGATTTCTTCGGGCAGGTAATTCCACAGCCTCCTTCTTGGGGCAGCCTGTTGGGAATCAGCCTGTGTTTGTGTTTCAGGATCCTGATGTGGGTCATGATGAGAGAAATGATGGTGCTGAGGCGGAGATGGTTTGGTCAATGATTTTCATGCAGACAATGACAGAGAGGCCGCAGTGCAAAGGGCGGTTTCTCATGAGAATATCCCTGCTGGGCCTAGCAATGATGGTTCACTCCCTCTCTCTGTGAGCTCTCAAGATTTGGGTTTAGAAAACAATCTGACACCTGGGAATTTTAATGAGCAGCCAGGTAGGGAGCTGAAGAATAGGTGGCTGGAGATCAGCCAGGATCGACAGCAAACTCAGTGTTTACATCGCTCGGAAAGGCTTTGCCTGATAAGGGGTAAATGTAGGGGAAAGTGAAACCAATTTCTGAGTTTTGGGATATAAGGTTTGCCTCAAGGGAAAACCTGTTAGATCAGGCATCGTTTGGAAATCAAGTTCATGTGCCATGGAAATCCTATTCAAGGGGTCTCGTTCCTGTGGATTTTTTTAGCCTTCTGGATATAGATATAGTTAATGTAATGCAATATAATGCTATTAATAATATGAACAGGCTGGATTATTTTAAATATATATCTGTGCTATTGTGGTTTTTAATGCTTATTTTGTCTTGTTAATTTTATGTTCGTGCTGTTCTCTTTGTATGTATTGATTATGCCACTTGGAAACCGCTCTGAGTCCCCTCGGGGAGATAGAACGGTATAATAAATAAAGTTTTGTTGTTGTTGTTGTTAAGATGCAACAGTCCTCACCTGCGGCCTCTTCTCTCCTCTTCCTTCAGGACGGCAAACTCACGAAAGAAGAGATTGTGGACAAGTACGATTTGTTTGTGGGCAGCCAGGCGACGGACTTTGGGGAAGCGCTAGTACGACACGACGAATTCTAAAGCCCTCTTTTTGTTGTTGTTCTTACGAAAAAAAAGAGGGGAAAATCCCACGTAATTATTATTTTTTTACTGTTTTCTGGAGGTAATACACAGAGAAACTCCTCTCACTTCTACAGAGACAGTTTGGCAGTTTCCGGCAACTGTGCAGAGGAAACAACAATAACAAATCCCTCCAGTCTTTGCAGAGGGATTTGGGAGCACAGTGTTTTGAGAAAAGAAAGAAATAACAACCCCACTTTTCAGTTTTGCCACACTTTTGGGGTGTATTTTTTTTTTGTTTTATAGATTTGCATGTTGTTTTTATGTCTTTAACAAGTTCTGTTTATTTTTGTATCGGGTTTTTTTTTTTGTTGCCGCGTGTGTCGTGACGGAGGACGAATGAACGAATGCCTTCCTTCCCCTGAAACGTGGTTAGCCTTAGGACAACACTAGCTCCTTCCTTTGTTTGTGTGTGACCTTCCCCCTTCGAGGTGCAAAAATGGGATCATGAAATGCCATCAAACAAGGAGGGCGCACGCGGGGAAACTAAACAACAACAGCCATGTATTGTCGAAGGTTTTCATGGCCGGAATCACTGGGTTGTTGTAGGTTTTTTCGGGATATATGGCCATGTTCTAGAGGCATTCTCTCCTGACGTTTCGCCTCCATCTATGGCAAGCATGCTCACTACCTCTGAGGATGCTTGCCATAGATGCAGGCGAAACGTCAGGAGAGAATGCCTCTAGAACATGGCCATATAGCCCGAGAAAAACGTACAACGACCCAACAACAGCCATGCTTACGTTTGGGATTTTTTGTTTTCCTTTCTTCGACAGCAATGAGCTGAAGCTGTCAGGCTTAATTTCCCTATTTCCCTTAAGGCAGGCATGGGCCAACTTGGGCCTTCCCTGCAGGTGTTTTGGACTCCAACTCCCACCATTCCTAACAGCCTCAGGCCCCTTCCTTTTCTCCCTCAGCCGCTGAAGCATTGGTTATGGGCCCAGCACTCAGTTTAACTGCGGTTATGGGCCCAGAACCCAGCTTAACTGTGGTTATGGGCCCAGAACCCAGCTTAACCGTGGTTATGGGCCCAGCACCCAGCTTAACTGTGGTTATGTGCCCAGAACCCAGCTTAACTGTGGTTATGGGCCCAGCACCCAGCTTAACTGTGGTTATGTGCCCAGAACCCAGCTTAACCGTGGTTATGGGCCCAGCACCCAGCTTAACTGTGGTTATGGGCCCAGCATCCAACTTTATTTTATTTATTGTGTCAGGGGCAACCATACCATTGTATTACATTTCTAACAGAAACAAAACAAACAAACATTAAAAAACACAAAGTTTGCAAGCTTGGTAGTTGATTAAATGTCCTTTGACCAGTCTCTGGCCACTTGGAGTGCCTCTGGTGTTGTCGCAAGGAGGTGCTCCCTTGTGCATGTGGCAGGGCTCAGGTTGCATTGCAGGTGGTCAGTGGTTTGCTCTTCTCCACACTCGCATGTCGTGGATTCCACTTTGTGGCCCCATTTCTTAAGGTTGGCTCTGCATCTCGTGGTGCCAGAGCGCAGTCTGTTCAGCGCCTTCCAAGTCACCCAGTCTCCTGTGTGTCCAGGGGGGAGTCCTTCATTTGGTATCAGCCATTGGTTGAGGTTCTGGGTTTGAGTCTGCCACTTTTGGACTCTCGCTTGCTGAGGTGTTCCAGCGAGTGTCTCTGTAGATCTTAGAAAACTTTCTTGATTTAAGTCGTTGACATGCTGGCTGATACCCAGCTTAACTGTGATGATGAGCCCAGCACCCAGCTTAACTGTGGTTATGGGCCCAGCACTCAGCTTAACTGCGGTTATGGGCCCAGCACCCAGCTTAATTGTGGTTATGGGCCCAGCACTCAGCTGAACTGTGATGATGAGCCCAGCACCCAGCTTAACTGTGGTTATGGGCCCAGCATCCAGCTTAACTATGGTTATGGGCCCAGCACCCAGTTGAACTGTATTTATGGGCCCAGCACCAGGTTTAACTGTTATGATGGGCCCAGCACTCAGCTTAACTATGGTTATGGGTCCAGCACCCAGCTGAACTGTAGTTATAGGCCCAGCACCCAGCTGAACTGTGATGATGGGCTCAGCACCGAGCTTAACTGTGGTTGTGGGCCCAGCACCCAGCTTAACTGTGATTATGGACCCAGCACCCAGCTTAACTGTGATGATGGGCCCAGCACCCAGTTTAACTGTGGTTATGGGCCCAGTACTCAGATTAACTTTGGTTATGGGCCGACCACTCAGCTTAACTATGGTTATGGGCCCAGCACTCAACTTAAGTGGCTGAGGGTGAAAAGGAAAGAGCCTGAGGCTGTTAGGAATGGTGGGAGTTGAAGTCCAAAACACCTGGAAGGAGGGCCCAAGTTGGCCCATGCTTGCCTTAATATATCCCTGAACATCACGCAGCTCTTTCTTTGTGCCCATTTTGGTTGACTAAAGAGCAATTCAGTGTTAAATGCCTTTTTTGAAAGCAGTATTTCTGATCTTTAGGTGGGTTTCTATGTTTAGTCTATCAGGGAAGGCCTCCTCCTCCTCCTTAACACAGTCGGATCCTTCTCTTTTGGTCACCGAGTGCAATTTGATGACCCCTTTTGGCTTCAGAATAACATCAGTTACCTTTCCTTCCATTTTACCTGCATGTGTCTTCCTTTATGCGAGGAGAAGCAGTGCAGAAAGGGAGTTAGGTCAAGTTGGAATGTTATTATATTTTTGGAAATTGATGAGACAAAGCATTTATTTGGATTCTGAAATAGCCATGCTGCTAAGGATTCTGGGAGTTGCTGTCCAAGAAAGCAACTGGAAAGTATCGCACCATTCAAAATTTGCAAAACATTTCAATGCCTCTTCCAAATCCATATCCCGATCCATCTCAGGAAAAGGAAAAGGTTTTTCCTGAGATTTTGGTATGCTGGGTTCACAAAAGGTGGAATTTCATATTTTATGCAGACATATATATTGGGTTCATAAGACATACGTTCATAAAGAGGGGAAAAGAAATCATATCAACCCTCCCCACCCCCACCCAGAGTCCATCCCTGTGGATGGCTGTCATAGATGCAGGCGAAATGTCAGGAGAGAATGCTTCTGGACAGCCCAGAAAACTCACCGCAACCCAGTGATTTTGGTCATGGAAGGCTTCCACAACACAACTCCCCAGACCAAAGAAGAGTTACAATACTATTCCTACTTTTGTGACCCTTGGGGGACTTTTGCATGCAAGCAAGTTCTGAACACTAAACCCCCTTTTTCTCCCTTTTGGCCCTCAAACTGTTAACAATCATGAGAAAAAGTCAACAAAGGGATGCTTTCGACCGCTTTGTTAACACTAAAGCGAGCATGGGCAAACTTTGGCCCTCCCTCTGGGCGTTTTGGACTCCAACTCCCACAATTCCTAACAGCCTACCGGCTGTTAGGAATTGTGGGAGTTGGGAGTCCAAAACACCCGGAGGGAGGGCCAAAGTTTGCCCATGCCTTCCTTAAGAGTACTGTATCCACTGTGAGCCTGTGTTGCATTTACTCTCGATTTCGGAGACGCTTGTGGCCCTTTGCTAGGCAATCTTGCACACATATTGGGACACTTGGTGTTTCTTAACGAACCAAGGGTTCAAGGCAGTGCGTAAGAGGCCTTTCAAAAGATGCCCATCTTTCCATTCAAGATGACGGTAGAGAGAGAGTCCCTTCTGCTGCGTATCTCGCACCTGTTTGCTCCTTTTCGCAGTGTCTTGCCATTCAAGCGGGTGGAGGAAGAAGCGGGATCGCCCGTCGTCCCCAAACACTTCACGGCCTGCCCTTTTTTCGGCAGGCTCCTTTTGTTTATTTTGTAGAGTGTAAATGGGAGTTTTATATAATGTACAACATAACAGATAAGAACGGTGTCTTAATAAAACTGTTTACATCCCGTACGCCTCTCGGCATATTGCATCGTCTGTTATGTCTTTCGCCAATGTTCCTGCTGAGAAAGTCGGTGCTTTTAGCAACCCCCTCCCCTTAAGATTCTATAGCACTGAGTTCTAGTGAGATCGAAGGTAACCCTCCTGATATCAAGCAAGAATTTAGGGGTCTTTGCCAGGAGGTAGAGACCAGTCAGACCCACTAAAGAGAGTCCGTTCGCCCTGGCGAGACAGGAAGAAGCACCCAAAGAATTTTCCCTGATTTTTCCCAATAAAAGTCTCACCAAGTTGAAGAAAATGCCATCGAGTTGCCTTTATTTCGTCCCAGCTGGTACGGATGTCAAGCTGCAATCCCGTGTCAAAAGCTGACATGCTTGGCAGTACATTTTTATAGAGATATAGAGCTGTCAAATTCAAATTTCACGCTCCTCTCACCCTCAAACGGCTTTGCACTGATTGGTTGGAGTCATCAGCGGGAGGGGAGGCGCGACTGGCTCAGGCGCACCTCAGCCAATGGGAAAGCCAATGCCGCTTTGGCTTCTCAGCCAATGGGGAGCAAGGGGGCAGTACGAGTGGGAAACAATGAATCAGAAGGAAAGATGAGTGGATTAATGTGACTTAATGTTTGGTCCAATTGCCGGCGATAATCCAAAGGTTCCTCAAGCTAGCCTTGTATTGTTTCATGCGGGTATTTATTTATCGTGTCATCAGCAACCAGACCATTGTATTACATTTCTAACAGAACAAAACAAACACAGATAAAAAAAACCCCACAAATTTTGCAAACTTGGTAATTGAGTAAATGTCTTTTGACCAGTATCTGGCCCCTTGGAGTGCCTCTGGTGTTGCCGCAAGAAGGTCCTCGGTTGTGCATGTGGCAGGGCTCAGGTTGCATTGCAGCAGGTGGTCTGTGGTTTGCTCTTCTCCACACTCGCATGTCGTGGATTCCACTTTGTAGCCCCATTTCTTGAAGGTTGGCTCTGCATCTCGTGGTGCCAGAGCGCAGTCTGTTCAGCGCCTTCCAAGTCACAGTTTTCTGTGTGCCCAGGGGAGTCTCTCATTTGGTATCAGCCATTGATTGAGGTTCTGGGTTTGAGCCTGCCACTTTTGGACTCTCGCTTGCTGAGGTGTTCCAGCGAGTGTCTCTGTAGATCTTAGAAAACTATTTCTTGATTTAAGTCGTTGACATGCTGGCTGATAACCAAACAAGGGATGAGCTGGAGATGTCTCTGCCTTGGTCCTTTCACTATTGGTTGCTACTTCCCGGCGGATGTCAGGTGGTGCAATACCGCTAAGCAGTGTAATTTCTCCAGTGGTGTCGGGCGCAGACACCCAGTGATAATGTGGGTTTC